CACTCTATCGGTGAGGAGATTAAACCAGAGGGACCAGGGAAGTCAACGCTTTGCCCCAGTCACACAGCCAGGGAGTCGCGGAATCAGAGGTGGAAGTCACATCGCCTAACGGGCCTCTAAGCAGTGGCTGTTCTAACCCAGTACAGCAGGGACACGGTGAGAGAATGCATTCATGAATTAAGGATCTGAGAGTGAGGCTTTGTTGGGGTAGATCAGGAGAGACAAAGTATACCAGGGGTCTTGGTAGTGACGAGGAAAGTTATCAGGGAAACACAGCTGGGAGAGGCCAAGAACTCTGAGTAAAGAATCTGCTAGTTGCTGCACAATGGAACAGGCAAAATCAACAGCTTGACCGCAGGCCACAGATGGACGGAGGATTTGGAGGTGATTCAAGAGCATTTGCCCTCCAGGTTCCTGGGCTTCCCAAAAGTCACATCAGTGTGTCCCAGTGCCCACCCACTGTCTTTTCAGCCCACCCAGGCTGCCTGCATGTTTCTCAGTGGGTGGCCGCGTCCCTGGCAGGGGCCCAGCCTAACCGGTTTGTGGTACCCTAGAGGAGGCAGCTCTGTGTTGTGGGTGAAAAAAAACGGCAGTGGGGAAGGGCCCCCGGCACGACCCCAGCTCCCACCCACGCTCACGAGAGCCCCGCGATCCGCAAGCAATGGCCTGGGTTTTGTAATGAGCAGTTTCTCTTTTACAAGATGGTTTTGGCGCTGTGGGCGCCAACAACCAGTCTCTTTGAAGCGCTGGCCGGGGCCCAGGAGATGCTTCTAATTTCTAATCAGGGCATGTTTGGATGCCTGCGAGAGAAGAAAGGCCAGTCTAGCACTGTGATTAGAATGAGAGGCGGTGGGAAGGGTTAGCCTCGGGCAAACTTATTTTAGACGAGTCGTTTTGACAAGTTCAGTAAAAGGGAGGGAATTCAGGAGCAGCAAGACAGAAGGGAAAGTACACGCACCTTGAAGTCCAGCTCCCAGACGTCAAGCCCCGGCTCCGCGACTAACAGCCTGTGTGGCCCTGGGCAAGTCACTCTGCCTCTGGGGCTCGGCGCTCTCACCCGTGAGAGGCTGGCCAGTGACCTCTGGGTCCCAGCAACAATATCAAGAGCGTGGGATTCCGAGGCTCCGGGACGGAGGCAGGAAAGCAGCTTTCCTCTTCATCCGCTGCTCCCGAGAAGCTGACTACTGTGTGTTTCAGAGCAAATGGCATTCTTCAAAAGAATGACGGTTTCACTTTGTCTTTATCTAGAATCAAATGACCCAAAGTGCTTTTGTGTGCATTCATTCATTCATTCATTCAGTTACTCTCTGAGCACCTTCCGGGGCTGAAGGAAGCAGCCACGTGGTAGTCATCTCTCAGGTTCACACTCAGACCTCCCCTCTGCAAGGCCGTCCTGCTCACTGGCACCCTCTCCTCCTTTTCTGCACTCACAGCATTTAGTGCCGGTTCAACTCGTTTCATAATTAACCCTGTAATCTGTAGAGTTACCAATTACTCCACTTCTCAAGCCTTACTCTCAGAGCCTTAATCCACTGACTCATTAATCCATTTATGGGCACATCTGCCGTGTCTCTGCAACTAGACTGCGAGCCCTCAAGGACAGGAGGTGGGTCTGACACTCTGTGTCTCCCAGAGTCGAGTGCAGCGTCCTGCTCGTGATTAGTGCTCAATTAACGATCCTTCACTGATTGGCCAGTGAGCATCGTGGGTGTTCAAAGGCTTGTAAGAGGGAGCTGTTGTTCCCAGGAAGGATTCAGTCTGAACGAGGGATATAGGCCAACTGAAGAGCTAAGTGACAATACAAGCGAATCCCTTGGCCTGTGACTCGCTGTACATACACGCGACAGCCAGTGGTTCCCAACTTGGGGCCTCGGATCTCCTGTAGTCCATGAATTGCCCTAAGCATCAGAAATCTTTCTGTCTACAGGTGAGCTGACTCAGAGGTGTCTCAGAAGGTGTATGTCTGTCCTTCCAAGTGTGTGCTGTGATTGACAAAACGCATAGCCACTGAAGAGCCTAGGATTCCAAGCTATTCTTCAGTCATCATGAAATTTTGAAACAGGTGCTAAAAGAACAATTACTGTCACGTGGGTTATACAAGCATTTTTCTGAAGTTAAAAGAGAGAGATTATCACACCTAACCAGGGCTGTACAAACGACCAGCACAGACAGCTAAAATCCAGAAAAGAACGTGTCAGCCTAGGCGGGCAAAGGATTTTTTTTTTTCCTGAAAAAGATGGGATTTGAATTCAGCCTTGAGTAGCGATTAAAGTTTTTGTTTGTTTCTTGGGGTTTTTGTATAGCACAAAGAACTATATTCAGTAATCTGCAATGGCTTACCATGAAAAAGAATATGAAAAGGAACACACACACACACACACACACACTCACATGAATCAGCGTGCTGCACACCAGAAATCATCACTGTAAACTGACCACACCTCGACCGAAACACAAAAAGAAGAGTAATGAGAAAAAGTGGGATATGATAATTGAGGGAAAGTGGGACATAACTGAAAAAGTGCTGTGTAGATTTTTGTATAATGATGAAGTTTCCAACAGCGAGGCCCTGTGTGAGGTTCAGCCCGTCCCAGGTGCCGCAATGCACATGAAAGGAGAAAAGCCACCAGACTCACAGGGACAGGCTACCACTTCCTTCACGACAGTCACGATCCTTCAAGAGCAGAAGGTGCGCAGACGAGCTGCAGCACAGGGGGATGCAGACCGCAGGTGAATAAACTTTCTTCAAGAGCATCCAGAAGGTTAGCAAAGACATGTGAATCCTTCACCCCACTAATACGTACCGGTCAGGAAACGCAAACTTTTTTTCCAGATTTCTGTAAGTGTGCCTTGCGAGAACCGTAGACCACTATGCCACACCCTGGGAATGCAGTGGGGGCAACGTGTGCACGGAGTCGTGCTCACAAGGACTGTGCTGGAGTGCAGCGTCTTCGACTTGTCATCGCAAGGGGATGGAGACATGGGGATTTGTCCAAGATTGGCAGCAAGCCAGCTGTGAATGCCTTCTTGGGCAAGTCATACCATTTTCCTAGAACTTAGTCTGTCCTACAAAGTGAGGGGTTGAGTATTTAAATTCTCTCTAAGAAGTCTCTTTAAAGAATCTTTAAAGTCTCTTCCTGTTGGCGTGTTCTGCCCTTTGGACGGTGACTGCGGTGGGAAGAGCGCCTGTCGCCAGGGGAGCTGGCTGGCGCCACCGCTCAGCCCCGTCTCAGGAGACGTGGGCGAGGGAGCTGCCCAGGTCGGTGAGCAGAGGAAAAGCACGTGACTTCCCCAGCCGATCTGGAAACAGTCCTGATGGGCTCTCATTCCTGTAACCCTACCTTCAAAGTTGTTCTCTCTGCAAGAGGTGACACTTTGCTCTCTCATGTTCTGACCTTTGTCTTTAGGCTAAAATTTGTCAGTGAAATCACCTTCTTTCTTTCTTTGAACTTGGCTTCACTCACACCAAATTCTGCCTGTTCACTGCTGGGAGCAGATCTTGTAAGATGACCCAGGTCTTTTGGAAAACATTTTGGCACAAATGATGAGAGTGCTCGAAAAATACTCGTAGCCTTTTATTTTATAATCCTATCTGCGGATATCAATCTTAAGGAAGTAACTCTAACGTCACTGAAGATCCAGGCATGAAGAAACATCATCAAGTTGTGTAATTTATCGTTGCAAAATGTCAGAGGCAACCTCAGAACAGGGGAATGGTTAAGTAAGTCACAGCTTATGGAAACAATATGATGCTGTGTTGGCAAATGGTCTTAGAGAGTTTGAAATAAAAACTTGGAGCCTGCTTATCTTGCAAAATGTCAAGTGGAGACAGCGAGAGACAAATCTGATTGTATGGTATGATTTCAATGCTGTAAACAAAAAAGGAATTTAAAAAGAAAAGAAATATATCAAAACATTAGCAGTGGTATTTCTGGAGGCTGGGATTCTTTCTTGCTCATATTCATCTATTTTTTTATCAATAAGCTGCTACTATTATCAGAATAAAAATATGATTCAAATATAAAGAAGCAAACCTGGACAAAATATTAACAATGAAATCCCTTAATGAAGGGAACACAGCTGTTACTTTCTTCTTTATACTTTTCTGCATTTTCCAAATTATGTTATCTATATAATCAGAGAAAAAACTAGAGAAGCCATGGTGAGGAGGCCCTGCCGGGATGACTATCACGGGGCTCCCGCCAACCTGCCAGCCCCGGTGGCCCTGATGAGATGGTCGTGACAGACTCAGCAGCTCAGTGGCCTGCCAGAGTGACCCCGTCCGGAAGGTGCTCCGCGGTGCTAGTGTCTAAATTTAGACTGCAGGTGGCCGGAAGGGCAGGCGGGAAGGGTGAAGGCCCAAGGCGGTGGCCGCTTAGCAAGTCTGGGAAACCTAAGTCTGGGTGTGGCGCTGGGTGGAGGCAGCACTTGCAAACATCGGGATGCACTGCCGATGCTGCCTGTGCATCCCGAGGACTGGAGGTGGGCTCCGGCCCCACGAGCGCCCGGCTGTGCGCCAGCCGGACTCGGTCGGGACCCGCTGCCAGCGGGACAGGCGGCCCCACCGGGACGCTGCAGTGTGCTCCGCCCCTCCCTCCGCGGCCGCGAAGACTGGCAGGCGCCGGCTGCCCGGAGGTGGATGCCCGGCAGGTTCCGGCCGGATGAAACCCAGGAAACACCCAGGAGTTCTGCCCCTCCTCTGGCATCGAGGCCGAGAGTGAGGGCTCTGCGGTGGGAGTCCCGTTTGCCTTCCAGCTCTTCTGCTAACTAGCTGGAGGACCTTGGGCCGGGGGCTGATTTGTGCCTCAGTTTCCCCATTCAGCCTTGAGATAGGACCTGGCATATGTTGGATACTTGATAAACGGCGCTGAATGAACGGCAAGGGTGAGACAGGGTAGGTGTCATCAAGCAGCCCTGGAGACTCCCAGGGGCTCCCTCGTTTGAACAGACATGCAGTGTCACCGGTGTCCCCTGCCCCACCACACCCAAACCCCACTTACCCCAGACCAGTTCTCCTCTGCCGTGCTCTGGCTTTCCTCTTGATGGGCAGGCACAAATGGACAATCCAGCCTGTAGTGAGGCATTACTCAGTCTGGCCTCCGGTGTCACCAGCCCAACGTCATTCAATGTCTGTTCAAATGCATGTTAGAGAAATAGGTAATAAGCAGAGCTGGACACATAGACAGAAAAGACCCAGTGCTCACGCTCACCCGGCTCAGTGTTCAGACAGAGGAGGGAGACCTAGTTGTGACTCAAACTGCTACCTGCAAAGCAGCAGCCTGTACCAAGTGCTCCCCGGAGGGGCTCAGACTTGGGGGGGATGGGAAGGGTGACACGACCCTTCACCTCTGAACTGATGCTGGGGGAGGAGCCGTCTGCCTGACAAATGGGGAGTGTTCACAGCTGAGCGAGAGCTAAAAGGGAGAGGACCAGGGGTGCTGGCTGCGGAAGCAGCGACAGGCCTGTGCTGGGAAGGGAGAACCTGCCTGTCCAGGGATAGAGTGAAGAGACGTGGGGCCGGGGAGAGGAGGGCCTAGATGTCAGCAAGAGGGCGTGTGCCGCCGGCGAGGGGGCAGGGCTGGGAATGACTGCGCTCCGGGCAGAGATGCTGTTGGGAGTGAGGAGAGGAGGGCCGAGGTGAGCCTCTGTGCTGTCACGGGGTTAAGCAGAGACACCCTGCACGGAAGACTGGAGGTGCCGAGCGGAGCCCTGGGACGCGTAAGAAATGCCAGGGAGCCCTTTGTCGTCACAGGCCGAGGGGTGGCCAAGGGCTAAGCGGGCCGGAGCCTGCCTCGTGGCGGGGCTGGGGACAGCAGTTCCCAGCGCGGGTGGGCAGGCCGGCAGGAGCTGCCCTTCTCCACGTGCCTCGCAGTCTGGCCTCCTCGGCACATTTCCATCCTGGTCTGTCTTACGCGTGACGTCATCATATCGTCTTTACAGACGTGGAAAAGCCTCCACCCGCACTCCCCGCCACCTCTGCCCTGCTGCACTGTCCAGGCCTGAGCCGAGTGTAACTGGCCCACAGGGTCGAGGGGGCCTCACGGGACCTTAAGCATCAAAGGAAAAACAACAGCGCAGCAGGGCATTCCCAGGCGCCTGCCGTGTGAACGCGGAAGCCCACGCGCATTTCTCGAAGGGCTGAGCGGGATGGGAGGGCCTCCCCTGGGTGGGCCTGACGGGGACACAGGCAGGAACATCAGCATCCAGGCGCGAGGAGGAGAGAGAGGAGGCCACCGCCAACGCAGTGGAAACGTCAGGGCGCCGGGTGAGATGGAGCAGGCACCCCCGCTCTCAGTCACACTGGGTCCAAGTCCGCACGTGTCCCTGGTGCTTCAGGGGCTTCCTTCCAGCCGCCAGAGCAGGGACGGGGCACCCCGGGAGCCAGCCCCGGGAGTCCAAGCAGAGGAGGGCACGTGTGGCCCACTGATGCTGGGCCTTGTGGATGCAGGGGCGTGTGTGCGCATGCATGTGCGTGCGTGCGGGCGTGTGTGATGGAGTTTGCCCGCCTGTGCGTCAGGCCCACCGGTAACAACTGCTCCGGCAGCTGGGGATCTGGGGGCTTCCTCTGGGCCCCGTGCAACTCATTTGAGTCACACCTCTGCGGGGACCTGGTTCAAAAGCAGTTTTAGTAGGATTCTGCATGTGGGCACTGTGGTTAAACAGAAATTCCTTTTAAATGAAGTCTGAAGAGGGAGCCAAAATAAGGCCAGAGGGTAAGGGATGAGTAAGTCCAGGACGGAGCCTGAGCTGGGTGGCGAGGATACTGATCTGGGGCACACAGGCCACAGTCACGGAGGCGGCTGCCTCCCCAGCCCTCGCCCCAGGCGGGGCCTCCTGTCATGTAGGGAGTGTGTCCTCCTTACAGAATTCCCGAGTGGGACTGACCTTCAGTGATCTTCGTCAGCCCCCTTTTTCGTCAAAATTAAGTTCCTTTCATTGCTTTCTTTCAAAAAAGCACCAACTGCTCATTAGAGAAAAATTTAAAAACACAGACAAGTGAAAAGAAGAAATGGCAAAATGCCCACAATCTCACCTACTTGAAACACCAGCAGTAACACTGGGTTAGGTCATTAAAATGCCCCCTCGATAAATGCAGACATTTTTCTTTTACAATTTGTATCTCATTTTATACTCTTACCACCATGTTATGCAATCAGAATGCCCTCCTCAGTCAATACATATGTATATAGGTTATTATATATAATATAATACACAATTGTACATGATACACATGTATATTATACACACACAAATGTACCTTTTTCAAGCAAAAATGGGATCATCCTGTTTATACTGTTTTTGTGATTTTCCCCCTTTTACCTAAAATCTTCTGTGGCTGTAGACACGTTTCTCAGCGTCATTTAAATGCCTGCACCCTCTCCTATCACCTGAAGCACTAAGTTTATTTAACCAGTCCCCTGTCGCCGAACACTTAGGTTATTCCAACTTTTTTCTCTGTTAGTAACAGTGTTGTATTGAACATTCGTGCAGCTAGATACTGGCATGAGTTCCTAATGCTTTCTTTTTGGATCCATTCCCAGAAGTCGAATTGCTTGCAGATCCTTGATTTCCATATGTTAGGAAAGTGAAGCCCAGAGCTTGGCCGAAAGTACTAGAAAAAGATTAAAAGATGGGGGTTGGGGGGTGCACAGCCCAGGACCGGAGCCCAGGGCCATCGGCTTCAGGGGCAGCGCTGCTGGCACTGCACAAGCTGAGGTGGCCAGCTTCCTTTGACAGCCGGTGTCCAAGGACAGGGGCCAGCTGTGGGGACGGGGGACACAACTGCTCTAGGGCTTCTTGTAAACGCAAGGGCTGCTGATTCAGAGGCATCCACGGGAGCTACCCGCCCACTGAGCCTCAGGTCTGGCCACTCCTTGGCCGTGCACCGCGTGCATCAGACCTGCCACAGTTCCCCTGCTTTACATGCCTCTCTGCACCTTCCTCCCCGCTGCTGGCCACCAGGTGAGTTGGGATGTAAATGCTTTTTGAAGTCCTATAGGAATTTCCTGGCCCACGATTACCTGGTGCCTACTTCTCACTTAACATCTCTGCCCGGAGGGTATTTGGAGAACAATCCGAAGGCCTCAGAACGGAAACACAAAGTGTCATATTTATTAGAGAGAAGGGCGAGGGTCCTCCCAGCCACCATTGCCCACCCTGCCTTCCTAGTACAATTTAAATTGGGCTACCTAGTGGCTGAATCTGTCAGCTAACGAGCTCCCCTCCAAGGAGGGAGGCGGCTGGGTTGGGAAGGGGTGCCGGGGCAGGCAGCAGGTGTACAGAGGAACACAGGTGGGGGTGCAGGACAAAGGGGAGGGTGTGCAGTGGGTCGACAGCACGTCGGGCTGGGAGGGAGAAGGAAGCGCTTCAGCTCCGCCAGTGTGCTGTGTGGCTTTCAAGAAGCGCTTTCCTACTCTGGTCCTGTTTCTTTATGTAACCAGGGGCCCCAGATCCGGGGAGTGCTGCTGTCCCTCTCTGCTTTGGCCGCTGTGCTGGTCCCCTCCCTCATTTAGCACACTTGTTCAGTGCCATGGTTTTGAGCTTTCCTTTTGTGACTTTTGACAAGCTCTCCGAAGTCAGCTGCAGGTTATTGTGTAATGAAGTTTATGCTGTCAGGCCAAGGAAATAAAATAATCGCATACCTTAAAAAAAGAGATTCAGAGGTTTTCTGAATCTTACAGACGAGCGGCTGATAACTGAGTCTACACTGACGCCATGGGAAAGCTCTGCAGCAAACTCTGATGCCCTGACACCGGCGTCAGAGCCCTGCAGTCGCCCCTCCTTGGGCAGCAAGCGCCTGTTCCTAGCTGCCTGTGGCCTCTGTGTTTAAAATCTAGGGCGCGGGGGCCTCCAGGAGCAAGGAATGTCACCTCATGCATACCAGGATACTTCCCCGCTTCTTCATCCTTTCTGCAAGACCCTTGGGTGGCAGAGACTACAGAGCTAGCAGAGAGGCTACGCCCAGCCTGGCAGCCAAATCAGGTGACAGTGGCTGCGTCAAGAGTTACACGGAAAAGGGCTCTAGGCAGGAAGACCACCAGGTCTGCCCCGAGGGAGGGTGCGGGAAGCAGCGGCACCTCCCTTCCTCGCCCTCCCTGACTTACTCTATGAGAATCAGCCTATTTGCTCCAGGCCCAGCCTTCCGATGGGTTCTCACGCTCCGGAACGTTCTAGCAGCATGGAGGCAAGGTGTCTCAGAGGCACACCCATGCACTGGACTTCCTCAGACTGCATTCTCCTCTCGGTGGTGGCTCATCCCCTCCAAGCCTTCTCTTGGTGTTAATTTTAAGCCTTCTCCCGTTTCACATATTGTTTTGAGGAGGTAGGGTGGGACCTCACAGCGGGATTGGCTCTGGGCCTCTGTTTTCCATCAGGAGGGTGCTGGCTGGATCACTGATGGCCTGGAAGTTGGAACTTCAAAGAGAATCCGCTATCTTCTGGCTACAAAAGTTTTAGAAGCCAGCACCCAGGGAAATGTTTGATAGTTTCCCCTCATTCTTTCCATGGGAATGCAAAGTAAAGGAAGTTTAAAATGATTATTAGTGGAACTGGAAGGTGTGGAGCAGAAAACCCCAGCAGGATTTTAAAGCAGAGCTCTCAGACTGGGAAGAGCACGCAGCTCAGTTCGTGGCTGTGTGATGTCCTGGACACCACAAGGTCTAGAGTCGGGGGGCTGGAGCATGCTGTCCACCTTGACATTCGCCAAGAAAGTTGCTTCTCCTCCTCTGGCCTCAGTTTCCCCGTCTGTTACCTGCCCTGCCCACCTCCAAGGCTTCAGGGATGATCTAATGAGAGAAAGGACGCGAACATGCTTTGGGAAGAAGGCTCAGGAGCTACACACATGGAAGGGATGACTGTTTCCTAAGTGGACTTGTCCCTTTGCCATCACCGCTGGAGAGCTGCTTGGACCATAAGTATTTGGCCTCTGAACTTTCACTCCGGACTGGAGCAGCTGTGGGTGGCAGGAATGTGGGGAGGGAGGAACATCAGAGTCAGCAAGCATGGGCCTCAGTCTAGGAGCTGGCCAGGTTTCTAGGGGAAAACATCTCGAGTAGCTCTTTGTGGTCATGAAGAACAAATACACTGATGTGATCGTTCTGAAAGCTTTTCAGAGTCTGAAGGAAAGCTTT